CCCGGCCCGCGGTCTCCCTCCCGTGTGTGCCCCCCGCGAGTACCGCCCGCCCCGGCGCACCCCGTTTCCAGTTGACTGAAGCACCGACTGAGGCTTTCCAGTTAATTTACTTCTGCACAGAGACCCAGCTGGCCACCGGTTGAAGTTGGCACCGTCAAAGTGGAACGGCAGGGAAAAAAAAAAAAAAAAAAGCCCAGCACTGATCGCTTGGTTAAGCTGGTTTTGTCCGGGGCGCTGGAGAAAAGAGCGGGTTATTCACATGAGCTCACTGCCCCCCCTTTTCGGGGCAGGTTTTGGGAAGCAAACCCGGCTCGGCGGAGAGGCGCATCCTGCCTCTCCTTCAGGAGAGGACTTTGGAGGAGGCGATCCAATAACTTCACGTCGGGATCGCTGCCACGGACATCGCGGCGAACAATTAGGAGACAAAATGTCAGTGGGCTTCACGGGGCGTGAAGCTCCCCCCGTGCGTGGGGCCCGGCCAGATCAGCCGCAGTTTCAGTTCGATCCTTCAAACACGCAGGAGTTTGTTGCGTGACGGTATAAAATCACGGATAACGACATTAAAAAAGTACTGCACAACCATAGCTATAGAGACAGGCGGGCCGGCAGAGCCGCTCCCCGGCAGCCGCCCCGCCCCGGGCCCGGGCCGAAATCTCCGCGGGGAGTAAGCGGCCGCGCACACGCGTGGGGAGCGGAGGGCGCCGGCTGCGCGGCCGCGTAGCCAGGCTGGGGGGTCCTCGGCGAAGCGGTGAGAGACCACCGCGGGCTGGTCCCGACAACCCCCTTCGCAAACAGCTTTTGGTTTTCCTTTCTTTCTGTAATCGAGCCCTTGGGTTTAAACCCCGCTCCCTTCCGCGTGCGGGTGCGGGATTTCCCTGCCCAGGGGAAATACAGGCGGCTGTTTCTGGGTCTACCCTGCCTCGGTCCCCGCCATGTGCCTTCTCTGGGGCGCAGAAGACACCGCGGGAGAAACTCCTGCCTCTGCAATCCCAGGGTGCCGAAAGCATCCCTCCCTGCTTTTCCAACGCCGCTTCTTTGCCGAGCTACTTTCGCAACGGGAGCCCGCTGCGGTCCCTCTCCAGCCTCAACGAGCACTACCGCGGGAGGAGGAAACTTTTTTTTGCCCGCAGAAACGCACCAGGCGCGGGTCCCCGGCTCCGCGCCCCGCAACGGCCGTCGGCATCGGGGGGCCTCGGGGAAGGATGGAGGGTGGGAGGGAAGAGAGGGAACGCACGGAAAGGGAAAAGGGGGCCGGGGGCCAGCCCCGCCGCCCGTACCCCGCTCCCGGCCGGCAGCTGCAGCCCGCCGGAGACATGCGTATAGATGCGGGGCATATGGACGCGGGCAGGATCCCGCACCGCCGTGCCACAGGGCCCCGAGCCCGGCAGCCCAGGCTTCGCCCCGGGGGACGCGGGTTACAAGGGGAAGCCCGCGGGCGGCCGGCGGGCAGGAGCGGCTGCGGGGGAGGAAAGGAACGGCTTTCCCCGCGCGGGATAACGAAGTGGTCCCTCCCCTCCGGGGCATGTGCGTGGGCGGGTGGGGGGGGGTCCCAGCCCGTACGCCACCGTCACCCGGCCTCCCACAGGCCCTACACCAGCGCTGTGACAACCCCGAGGCCTTCGGGCTCTTTGATCCCGGCAGCAACTCCCACCCAGAGCCCCCAGCACAGGCAGCAGGCGAGGCAATGCCTGTACCCTGGCCAGAGGGATGCCAGGACCGACAGCCACGTCGGGACAGCCCGACCATTTCAGCGAGTGCTGACCTCTCCCACCCTTTTCCCTCCCCCTCGTCTTTTATGAGCTCCTGAAATCCCGTTATCGTTCATCACTTCTCAGTGATACTAATTTGTAACGCTTCCCACATCAAGCACACGCCGCTTTCGCCCCCGCTCTCCCGCTCTTTGCCTCCTTGATGTCGTTTCGCGCAAGATTTTCGTTATATCCATGCCAGCCGCTCCGGGGCTTTGCTTTCGGCACTCCCTGCCTCGGGACACGAGTTGTCCCGCACCCCAGAGACCCCGGGGTTTAAAATGCGGGTGGTGGGCTTTCCCACCCCCCCCCCCCCCCCCGCCCCGAGGTCCCTTCCCGTATCGAGGCCGCTGGGAGAGAGAGAGAGACAGGCGCCTGCAGAGTGATCCCGCGTTCAGAGCCGGCGTCGCTGCACGCTAATTAAAAAGTAGGATTAACTGCTCCCTCCTAATTGCAGCTCCGCATTTACCTTCTGCACCGATAGGTAGTTTCCAGATACATGTTTCTGGCAGCGTTTACCAGCTGTCTCGAACAGCGGTTACAAGTCTCCGGGAGGGACGCAAACATCTGCCGGGGAGCGGGAGGCGGGCGGCGGCGCTGCCGCAGGGACCGGCGGGCGCTCCGCACCGCACCGAACCCGCACCGAACCCGCCGGGCGCCCGGCAGCGAGCGTGATTTCTAAGAACGAAGTTCTCTATACCACAAGGACAGGGGCAGGCAGCACCGCACCGCTCCGCATCCCCCGCGGGTTTAAGCCCTGCCCGGCGGCCCGGGGCTGCGGGAGGCGCCGGGCGGAGGCAGAGCCGCCGGGCCGATCGGTGCCCGTCCTGCCCTCCGGGGCCGGCGGGCTGCGGGGAGAGCTGGCCCTCCGGCAACAACCCGCTGCCGCACACCCAAGTGCATCCCTGTAATAACGTCCTCGATCATTTATTAAAAGTCGTGTCAAGCGAGCCCATATAATTCATCTTTATGCAAATCCATCAATGTCAAGCCATTAGTGTATTGCTCGGGTTTTTTATTAAAGTGCATTCTTTTTAATTCAGCTCAGTAAAATACGAGCCCTATTGCTCAAGAATTATAGCAACTATTAGAGTAACATATGGGCAACATGCACTCAGAAAATAAAAATCAACAGATAAAGTGGCAGGGTCACAACGGGGAGCA